TCACCTTCATCCTCATCCTCAGCTTCATCTGCATCCTCATCACCTTCATCCTCATCCTCAGCTTCAGCTTCATCACCTTCATCCTCACCCTCATCCTCCTCACCCTCATCCTCAGCTTCAGCTTCATCACCTTCATCCTCACCCTCATCCTCATCCTCCTCATCCTCAGCTTCAGCTTCATCCTCACCCTCATCACCTTCATCTTCATCCTCAGCTTCAGCTTCATCACCTTCATCCTCATCCTCAGCTTCATCACCCTCATCCTCCTCATCCTCAGCTTCATCTTCATCCTCATCCTCATCACCTTCATCCTCATCCTCATCACCTTCATCTTCATCCTCGGCTTCAGCTTCATCACCTTCATCCTCACCCTCATCCTCAGCTTCAGCTTCATCTTCATCACCTTCATCCTCAGCTTCATCTGCATCACCTTCATCTTCATCCTCATCCTCCTCACCTTCGTCCTCAGCTTCAGCTTCATCACCTTCATCCTCATCCTCAGTTTCATCACCCTCATCCTCCTCATCCTCAGCTTCATCTGCATCCTCATCACCTTCATCCTCAGCTTCAGCTTCATCACCTTCACCCTCACCCTCACCCTCCTCACCCTCATCACCTTCATCTTCATCCTCAGCTTCAGCTTCATCACCTTCATCCTCAGCTTCATCTTCATCCTCATCACCTTCATCTTCATCCTCACCCTCCTCATCCTCATCCTCAGCTTCATCTGCATCACCTTCATCCTCACCCTCAGCTTCATCCTCATCACCTTCATCTTCATCCTCATCCTCCTCACCTTCATCCTCAGCTTCATCCTCATCACCTTCATCCTCATCCTCACCTTCATCTTCATCACCTTCCTCCTCACCCTCATCACCCTCATCTTCCTCACCTTCATCCTCATCACCTTCATCCTCAGCTTCAGCTTCATCTGCATCACCTTCATCCTCACCCTCATCCTCCTCACCTTCCTCCTCATCCTCACCCTCATCCTCCTCACCTTCATCTTCATCCTCATCCTCCTCACCCTCACCCTAGTCCCCTTCATCCTCATCCTCAGCTTCATCCTCATCACCTTCCTCCTCACCCTCATCACCCTCATCCTCAGCTTCATCTTCATCCTCCTCACCCTCATCCTCATCCTCAGCTTCATCTGCATCACCTTCATCCTCACCCTCATCCTCCTCACCCTCACCCTCGTCACCTTCATCCTCATCCTCACCTTCATCCTCATCACCTTCATCCTCAGCTTCAGCTTCATCTGCATCACCTTCATCCTCACCCTCATCCTCCTCACCTTCATCTTCATCCTCATCCTCCTCACCTTCACCCTCATCACCTTCATCCTCATCCTCATCCTCAGCTTCATCCTCATCACCTTCATCCTCACCCTCATCACCCTCATCCTCAGCTTCATCTTCATCCTCCTCACCCTCATCCTCATCCTCAGCTTCATCTGCATCACCTTCATCCTCACCCTCATCCTCCTCACCCTCACCCTCGTCACCTTCATCCTCATCCTCACCTTCATCTTCATCACCCTCATCCTCACCTTCATTCTCACTCTCATCCTCATCAGCTTCATCCTCATCCTCATCGTCCTCATCATCATCTTCATCGCCTTCATCAGCTTCGTCTTCATCATCTTCTTCATCCTCATCACCTTCACCATCACCTTCATCAGGTTCATCATCATCCTCGTCATCATCATCCTCCTCCTCATCATGGTCTTCATCACCTCCATCGGCTTCGTCTTCATCAGGTTCATCTTCATCATCGTCATCCT